TCCTTAGGGATTCTTCAATTTGCACAAATGAGGTGGAGATGGAGAATTGAAAGTCAACTTTTAATGAGCTCCCAGGTGTCACTGAAAATCCTGTGGCCTGTTCACTAGCAAAACTTGAAATTGGCTCCTTGGGGTTATCATTCCAGCAGAGTTTGGCAGAGTGTGTGGGATGCATGTCCCATTGGGCTCTTTAATCCAAGTCAAGTCTATAATACTTTTAATTTACCTGTGTTCTCAAGGGACCTGGACTAATGGGCACAGAGGGCACTGGGGAGGGGCTGGAGGTGATGGGTTCAGAAGACCTTCTACTGATTACCTGCTAAGAAGAACTCATCACAGCGCACCATTTGAATTCTCTGGGGACTTGTTTTCTTTTTCGGGGTGTTTTTTTTTTGTTTCCCCTTAATTAATTGTTTCATTCATTAAACAGAGACCAGCTGGCCATGAGTGTGAATTGTTTCTTTTCAGGTTTTTAAACACAAATTAATAGGCAAAAGGAGATTTGTGTAGTAGCATAGATAGCTTCCTGCTTTAGGGCACTGACTCCACTCAGACAGATGTGGGTTCAAATTCTGGCCCTGCCACTTGGGTGCCCTCTCTGAGTCTGTCTGCAAATGGGGAAGCTGATAGTAAAAGCACACCCCACGGTGTGATGCCTATGAACGTGCTGGCCCTTAGTAAATGCCCATAAATGCTAGGTAGTGTCGTTTCATCACTCAGTAGAATTTGGTTGGTGTTTGAGCCAACCAACTACTTCATTTACCTGACCCCACGCTGGGAGAACTCATCTAGTCATTCATCCAAATCAACAATTACTGAGTGCTTTGTGTGTTCCAGGCTCTAGGAATTCAAGCACAAAGCAAGCAAGATAAGATCCCTTGCCTTCTGGTGTTTATCTCCTAGGGGAGTGAAAATAATTCAGAAGAATATGAGTAAGTGAATCAAAGGGTTACACATTTGTATTATTGTGTTAAAGGAAATGAAAAACACGCTGTGGTTTTTAAATCGTGTCTCCTAAGCATTGAACTAAATGCACCCACATTTCTGAGATCGTTACACTACACACCCATACACATGACTATTCGAGGTCTGACCTCCAGGGGAAAAAAAGAGTTTTCTCATGATTAAAGACACCCAAAAAGGAAATGGCCCACCCAGGGAGGGAGGGAGGATTCAAACAGAGGTCACCACCCCTTCCCCCACTGGATATGGAAGGGGTGACAGACTCCTAAGTTCTTTTCTGGTTTGGTGGGGACTGTTTCAATTGTCAGGGACAGAAATGTTTATTTTAGGCAAAAAAAAAAAAAATCCCCAAACAAACAAATTCTGTCCAAGGACATACAGGAACTGGGGGAGGTCACCTTGGGACTTGAGTCATGTCCACAAGGCCCTGTTGCTTTGAAATTTCCAGTTTGCCTGTGTGATTTTTTCTTATTTGCTCTTTGTGCAGATAAGTATCCTTTCAGTTAATCTAGACAGTAGACCCCACTGAGGAAAAAGAGGGCTTCTCTTCCCCACCATCACATCTTTTTTTGTTTTAAATCAAAAACCAGTCATGACTGTTCCTGCTCAGAGAGGGCTAGCCATACCTCGGTTTAGCGAGAGCTGTCGAGTCAACGTGAATGAGAGCGGTGCGAGGCATAGTCAGCTTGCAACCTGTGACCAGCATCTTCCCATTCCCCTTACCCTCCAGCCGCTCACAACCACAAATCTACTCTGTTTCTATAATTTTGGCTTTTTTAGATTCTCTATGTAAGCGAGATCATACAATATTTGTCTTTCTGTCTGACTTATTTCCCTTAGCATGATACCCCCAAGGCCATCCATACGTATTGTCACAAAAGGAAGGCTTTCCTTCTTTTTTATGGCTGAGAAATATTCGTGTGTGTTTATACCCCGAATTTTCTTTACTCATTCATCCACTGATCATCAATAGATATTTAGGTTGTTTCCATGTTTTGGCTATTGTGAGTAATGCTGTGATGAACATAAGGGTGCAGATATCACTATGAGAGAGTGATTTCAATTCCTTCACATCAATACCCAGAAATGGGATTGCTGGATCATATGGTAGTTCTGTTTTTAATTTGATGGCAGCACCAATTTATATTCTCACCAACAGTGCATGAGGATTGCCTTTTCTCCACATCCTCGCCATTGGGCTATTTATTCAGTTCTGTGCTTTGGGCCAGCTTAGCATCAGGCCCTTGCTGTTTCCCATAGATGTAACTAATGGATATTTTTACTTTAAATATTCCACACAATTAACAAATAGGATTATTTCAGATGGTGTTAAGACCTATGAGAGAAATAAATGGAGCAAGTGGGTGGAAATTAACTGGGATGGGGAGGTACTTCTGCAGTGAAGGAAGAGCCTATATAAGGAGGTCACATTTCAGTCAAGTACCGAATGATGAGACATAGTCACATCCCCAGTGGAGGGGACAGCATGTGAGAAGGCCCTGAGGAGAGGAAAGATTGAGAATAACAGGAGGTCAGAATGGAGCCAGGTCAGAATGGAGCCAGGGTGACTGAGTGTAGTGAGGTAGGGAGATCAGTTGGAGAGGAGGTTCACAGTATCAGCAGGGGCTCACAGGGGCACAGTTCCTTTGGCTATGAAAGGAGATCAACATTTGTAGCAGGATATTGTGTTGAGCCATGAACTGAGGTCTCTCTCATTCTCCCGCCTCCTTGCATTTTGGGGCACCCCACCACCCTCAGCAATGGCTTCTGATATGTGTGGCCTGCAAGGGGGAAAGAGGGCTGATGCAAGGAGCATAGATACTAGAAGTTAAGATCCAAGACAAATGCTTAAAACTCATAGCAGAAATAACAGATGTGAGAGAGAACATGCTTTTAGGGCCAGGCTTTCTGCATTTTCCTTAAGATCAGGGGCAGGCATGTCCACTTTCATCACTCTCATTCAACATAGTAGAAGTCCTAGTCACAGCAATCAGACAAGAAGAAGAAATAAAAGACATCCAAATTGGAAAGGAAGAAGTAAAACTAATTATTTGCAGATAACATGATACTATATAGAGAGAACCCTAAATATTCCACCAAAAAACTACCAGAACAGATAAATAAATTCAGTAAAGTAGCAGGATACAAAATAAATATTCAGAAATCAGTTGTATTTTTATACACCAATAATGAGCTATCAGAAAGAGAAGAAAGAGATTTAAGCAAACAATCGCACTTACAATAGCATAAAAAATAACTAGGAATAAATTTCATCAAGGAGGTAACCTGTACTTGAAAAATTATAAGACACTGAAGAAATTGAAGAAGATATAAATAAATGGAAGCATATACCATGTTCATGGATGGGAAGCATTAATATTTTCAAAATGTCCATACTACCTAAAGCAATCTATAGAGTCAACACATTTCCTAGCAAAGCACCAATGATGTTTTTCACAGAACCAGAATAATCCAAAAATTTAGATGAAGCCAAAATAGACACCAAATAGCCATAGCAATCTCAAGAAAAATAACAAAGTTGGAGGTATCATGCTACTTGATATCAAACTATACTACAAGTCTATAGTAATCAAAACAGCATGGTACTGGCATAAAAACAGACACATAGCCCCAGCTATGTGGCTCAGTTGGTTGGAGCATTGCCCATACAACAAAAGGCTGTGGGTTTGATCACTTATTAGTGCACATACCTAAGCTGTGGGTTCAATCCCTGGTCGGGGTGATGTTTCTCTCTCACATCGACATTTCCCTCTCTGTCTCTTTCTCCCTTCCTCTTTCTCTAAAATCAATAAAAACATATCCTTGAGTGAGGATTAAAAAAAAAAAACAGACACATATATCAATGAAAAAGAACAGAGAGCCCAGAAATAAACCTGTGCCTATATGGTCAATTAATATATGGCAAAGGAGGCAAAAGCATACAATGGGGCAAAGACAATCTATTCAATAAGTAGTGTTGAGGAAATTGCTGATACATGGGAAAAAATGAAAATAGACCACCTTCCTATACCACATACAAGAATAAACTGAAAATGGATTGAAGACGTAAATGTAAGACATGAAACTAGAAAACTTCTAGAAGAAATCACAGGCAGTAAAGTCTTGACATTTCTTTTAACAATATTTTTTTCTGATATAACTCTTCAAACAAGGGAAACAAAATAAAAAGAAACAAAAGGGACTATATCAAACTAAAAAGTTTTGCACAGCAAACTATCAACAAAATAAAAAGACAACCTAAGGAATGGAAGAAGACCTTCACCAATACATCTGATAAGGGGTTAGTATCCAAAATTTATAAAGAACTCATACCACACCAAAAAAAAAAAAACAAAAAACAACCCCTAAACAATCCAATTAAAAAAATGGGCAGAGACCTGAATAGACACCTCAAAAGAGGACATACAGATGGCCAAAAGACACACTCAACCTCACTAAATATCAGAGAAATGTAAATTAAAACCATGAGCTATCACCTCACACCTGTCAGGATGGCTATCATCAATAAATCAGCAAACAACAAGTGTTGGCAAGGGTGTGAAAAGGAAACCCTCATGCACTGTTGGTGGGAATGCAAATTGGTGCAGCCACTATGGAAAACTGTAGAGTTCCTCAAAAAATTAAAAATGCAGCTGCCTTATGACCCAGTGATTCCACTTTCAGGTACATATCTGAAGAAACCCCAAACAGTAATTTAAAAGAATATATGCACCCCTATATTCAGTGCAATGTTATTTATAATAGCCCAAGATATGGCAGCAACAAAGTGCCTATCAATAGAGAAGTAGGAAAAAAAACATGCTGTGGTACATGTACAGGATGGAATATTACTCAGCCATAAAAAAAAAGGAATAAAATCTTACCATTTGCAACAGCATGGTGAACCTAGAGGGTATTATGCTATGTGAAATAAGTCAGACAGAGAAAGACAAATACAGTATTTTACTTATATATGGAATCTAAAGAACAAAATAAATGAACAAACAAAAATGAAAACAGATTCATAGATACAGAAAACAGACTGATGGTTGCAAGAAGGAGGGGGGTTGGGATTTGGGTGAAAACTTTGGAGCAATTAAGTACAAGTAGGTAGTTACAAAATAGCCACAGGGATGTAAAGCAGAGCCCAGGGAGTATAACATTGTAATAACTATGTATGGTGTTAGGCAGGTAATTGAAATATTGGAGGATCACTTTGTAAAGTATATGATTGCCTAACCAATATGCTGTACACCTGAAACTAATGCAAAATAATATTGAATGGCCATTGTAATTTTAAAATAAAATTAAAAAAAATAAAAAGAGCCAGGTTTCTGAGAGGAAAAGTAATAATGGCAACATTTATTGAGCATTTACTGTGTGACAAGCACACGTGGTCCTTGAGACCACCCTGAGGTACATACTGCTGTTGTCTCCTTTGCATAGTTGAGGAAGCCAGGGCACAAGGAGGGGACTGACTTGCCCAAGTCAGGCAGCAGAGCTGAGACTTAAACCCAAGCAGTCTGACTGAAATTCATACTCTTGGGCCTGATTTTTGTTTCCAATGGTCTGGCTTTGAATTTCAAGAGTCAAGGGATGGTCCTCACCCCGGCCTCCCCACTACTCCATCCACAGCCGGGTCAGGGGTGGCCTGCGAGGAGAATCAAGGAGGAGGGACTTGGAGGTGAAAGGTCAGACACACACACACACACACACACACACACACACACACACACACTCTAAACATACTCTTGTGAGAGTTCCTGGTACACAGTGCGGGGCTCATCCAGTTTCTGTTGGACAGCTGCTTGGCAGCATCAAAGGGTCCAGAGAAGGAAAGAGAGAGACTTCCTAAAGGGTAGGTCAGAAGGTCACCAGAGAGACAGACTGTGGGGGAGGGGAGGTTGCAGGCACAGGGTTGGCGCTGTTGACAAGGGAAGGAAGGGAAGTTGAGTCCTGGAGAGGATGCTAGATATGCTCCTCTGTGTTCTGGGCTGGCCAGGGGTCGCTGTTTCGGGAGGCATCCGCGGCTCAGAGGAGTGAATCTGCCTCCTGTGTTCTCCGTGATTCAGAACCTCAACCTCGCCCCTTAAGTCCTCCTTTAGCACTGGCCCCCTCCTGCTCAAACAGCTGCCATGGTTCCCCATTACCGGCACTACAGAGTCCTTGCTTGGGCCCGAGGAGAGCCCGCAATCAGCGTGGGGACCTGGGCTGGGCTGGGCTGGAGAGGCAGTCAGGGTCGCGGGCTCAGAGACGGGGCAGCGGTGACAGCACAGTGTTTTTCCTGGGACCCTGCACGGGGAGGTGTGCGGGCTGGAGCCAGGCCAGGCGCTGGAGGGTCACTGAGGGCCCGCGCCCAGCGGCTGCACCCGCAGCCACAGCCCGCCCTCTGCTCGCAGGATGAGCTCGGGCTTCCTGCGCGGCTCCGCCTGGTCCGGCAGGACGCGGAAGCGCAGCAGCGTGAGCGCCAGCACCGCCTTCATCTCGGCCATGGCGAACGCCTGCCCGATGCAGTTCCTGCGGGCGGGCGGGCGGGAGTGGGAGCTCAGACCTCGCCCGGGACCCGACCCTGGACCCCCATCCCCGCCCGCAGCGGTGGAGAAGGGGCTCTAACCGAGCCGGGGACCCCCGAGCGGCCTGGGACAGGCCCTGGCTCCAGCCCCGACCTCAGACCAGCGCACAGCGGAAAGGGGCTGTGGCGCAGCGGGGTCCCCTCCTTGGACCCACCCAACCCCCTTTCCCCAGACCCTTACCCGTAACCTACCCGCCGGAGGGAAGGGTAGGAGAGCCAGAACTAACAGTCTCCTATTTTCCCCCTTCCCCGCCCCCACTGCCGGGCCTGGGATCTCAGTCCCAGGTCCCCGGCCCCATCACCCACCTCCTGCTGCCCTCACCTGGGCCCGGCCGAGAAGGGAATGAAAGCCAGAGGTGACCTCTTCGGGGCGGTTTCCGGGTCGAAGCGGAAGGGGTTATAGACCTGGGGGGAGGCCGAGACGGGGCCGCTGGGTGGGGTCTCCCAGGACAGCCTGTCTTGGGGAGGCAGGTGTGTGTGATGGGGGGCAGGGGTGTTTGGTTTGCCAGGTCAGGACCCTGCTCCCTCCCCTCGGTCTCCCAAGGCGAGGGGACAAGGATGAGGGGAAGCGGGAGGCAGCACCTCAGGGTCCGGCCACACGGATGGGTTGTGATGGGTCCCAAAAATACTGATAGCGCAGATAACACCTGTGGGAGAGGAGGGGCCAGTCAGGGCAAGAGGACCCTCCAGCCAGACGGGCCCCTCCTTCTGCCGCGGTGGCCCCTCCCCCTGCCACCGCCAGCACCTTTGGGGATGACCCTGCCATCAGGGAGCGTAATGTCCTGGGTACAGCTGCGGGAGATCATCGTGACTGGGGGGTGCAAGCGCAGACTCTCCTTGATGCACATGGTCAGGAAGGGCAGCTGGGCCAGGTCGTCCCTAAGGAACACCCCCAACAGTTGTCCCCGGAGCAAAACCAGAGACCTCCCCCGGCTCCCCGCCCCGCCCTCAGCTCGATGAGGTCCACTCCGTCTAACAAAATAAATTCCAGATGGATCAAATGTCTCCAAACTCCTTGCGTACATTAAATATATACAGCTTTCTGCATGACAGTCATACCTCGACAGAGCGGTGTAAAATAAAAAAGAATAGAAACTCTTTGGCACAGAAGTACCAGAGAACGTCTGGCTGGGTATTTTCCGAAGCTTCTGAGCAAAACACAACAGGTGAAGGCCAACCATAAAGAGGTTTGCAAATTTGCAAAAAAATATTTAGGGCAACAGAACAAAATCAAAGGCAAATAAGTAAGAAAGAACCCCAGATGCAATACTTTACTCTAGCACCGCACTAGAGAGAGGTGCTAATGCAGTTAGGCAAGGGGAAAATGGAGGGTAACGTAATTTGAAGTGAGGGGGTAAATTGCTGTTTTTGGCATACACTGATTTCATACTGAGAAAACACAAGAGAATCCACTGGAAAGCTTGTATAAACATTGAAGACCCAGGGGCTGAATTATCTTTCTTTAATTCGCTTCTTTCCGTGTGGCGGTTTAAATTTTTCACAGCCGATGTATGTTAACTGGTTCAAATTGGAAAGTTACGAAGCACCGCCCCTGCGAGGACTGGACACGCAGGCAGGCGTTCAAGGAAGCTGCTCCGAGGGTGGGAATTGAGAAGGAAGTTTGTTTGCCTTATAAAGTCTTTTGCACTCTTTTCTTTTTAACTAAGTGCATCATTGTGTTTGCAGCCTTGGTGGAAAAAGCATGAAATCTTTTCTCCACCTCACAGGACTGCTGTGCTAAGCAAAGGCTCACGTGGGGAACATTCCCTCCCACTTGCCGGCCCAGCCTGATGCCTCTTCACCATCCCCTCGGCCCTGGCCTCGCTCAGGCCCCAGAATCTCCCCCCTGGGCGCCCACACCATAGCTTGTCCTCTCCAGTGTGTCTGCCACACTAGCCCCAGACAGATCTCCCCAATACCACATCTGACCTGTCTGCTCAAACACCCCAGGGGTTCCTCATTCTCCTTGGGTTAAATGGCAGCCATCAAAGTTGCTTTCAAAGCCTTCCACATTTCTCTCTCTCTCTCCCCCACCTTCCTTCCCTCTCCCTTCTCTCTCTCCCTCTGCCCCTCTCCCCAACTCTTTCGCTTTGCCCACGCTGTGTTTTGGGGTTTTGTTTTTTTTTTGTCTTTTAATCTAAGTACACCCAAAATGCATGCCAATATCTACTGATCAGCATTCAGGGGCTCAGCTGACACACACTCTCCACCCTCAGCCCTGCCCACCTTGCTGGTGAGCCCAGCCCTGCCCGTTTGGACTGGGCGTGTCCTGAGCCCAGACTATTCCCCTCAGCCTGGGAGCCTGGAAGGCAAAGGCTTGCTCTGGCCCCTTCCTCGGTCTCCAGGACACGGGATGGGCCTTGGAAGGATTGGAGGTGGGAAGGCAGTGTGGCAGTGATTGTTGAATAGGGGCGGGATGGAGGAAGACTCAGGCCTTCCTAGACAGGGGTTGAGAGACTTTAATCCCTACGAGCTCCCTGTGAATCCTGGAATAAACAGTATGGGAGGATTAGGAGGCAGGAGACACGCAAATATCCAGGGAGTGAAGATATTTGGGAAAACGTGATTTCAGAGAGAAAAGGAAGGGCGTGAAGGGAAAGTTCACTTACAGATTACGTGCTAAGTGACATCACCTGCCCTTGCACAGTGTCACTAATTCAGCAGCCCAGATCTTCCTGTCCCCAAAGCTGGCAAATGTCCCCCTGCTATCCAGGCTGGATGCCAGGCCCTGCCTCTGCGCTCTGCTTCCATCCCCTCTAAAGGGGATGATGGGATGACTGAATGCCACGCTCCCCAACAACAAAGCTCCTCCCTCCTCCCCGCTGGGGAGCAGAGCCAGTGCCGGGGGCGGGGCTCAGGAAGAGCCAGGAGAACCTGCACTCACCACTGGATCTCTTGAGGCTCCCGGTCCCCCAGGAGCTGTTGCACCTCCTGCCGGCAGCGCTCCTGGTATTCCGGGTGCCTTGCCAGGTTGTACAGGGCCCAGGAGAGGCCGCTGGCTGTGGTGTCATGGCCTGAGGGGCAGTCAGACACCTTATGTTAAGGGGCAGTCAGAGACCCTTCTGTGAAGGCCCTCGGGGAGGGCAGGGCGGGTCGGGCGGGATGGGGTGCTGCCACCAGCCAAGTCCCTGGATGGAGAGACCCACCCCCTCTGTGGTCCCTCACCGGGACCCTTACCCTCAAACATGAAGGTATCAGCCTCGGCTCGGATGTCCTCGTCTGATAACCTCTTCCCATCTTCATCCTGGAGAGAAAGCAAGGCTCCCCAAATCACACCAGCTCTGAGGGCCTTGAGACATTTCCCGGAGCTCCATCGTTCATTCAGAAACCTGAGCCCACACTACACACCCAGGTCTCCCTGCCCCCTCTCCGCAAAGGCCCCAGCCTCAGGCCTCCTCCTTGGCCTCATTGCCTCCAGTAGGGGGATCAAGGACCCTGAGTGTTTTCCTGTCTCTATGTGATGACGGCTTCCTGATAGAAAAAAGTTACTGGCAACCTGTGTTATACGTGATTAAACTGCCTTGGAAGTTGTGCAGGGAGCGTTGCTGCAGAACCAGTCGCTCACGGAGGAAAGTGGTAAATCCAGAGACTATCTTCCCGGGAGGTAAGGAACGGGCTCTCAATCTGTAGAACCTGTAAACTTTGCCCTTAAAGGATTTGTTTATGATCCAAAGCAATAACAATCTCTCTCCCCTCCCCTCCCCACCACAGGGAGGAAAGTGCAGATGTGTCAGCTCATTTATACAAGTTCCAAGGTTCAAATTGCACGGGTAAGTACCTCTCCTATGACACAAGCAGGGCTGCATGTCCAGGTGAAAGCATCATGCAGCCCTCAGAGGAACTTGGGAAGGGGAAGCAGAGCTACATTTCGGCTCCGGCCACAGTAACTGCGACGAGGAATGAATGGGCTGCTCCGATCCACGGTTCCGATGAAAACCTCAGGCCCTTGACATGGTCAGACTTAGCGATCCCCTACAGACTGCACTGCACACAGTCGTCTCTAGAACTAATCTCTGACTCACTCCTCCCTTCCTCAAGCACCCGCCATGGCTCCCCAGTGCCCTCTGCAGCAAATCCATTTTTCGGTGTGAGGCGTGGCTGGTGTGGCTCAATGGTGGAGTGCTGGCAAAACAGGAGGTTGCTGGTTCGATTCCTGGTCAGGGCACAGGCCTGGGTTGCAGACCAGTCCCTGGTTGAGGGTGTGCGATTAATGTTTCTCTCACCCATTGATATTTCTCTCCTTCTCTTTCTCCCTTCCTTCCTCTCTCTAAAATAAATAAATAAAATCTTTTAAAAAGCCCTGGCTGGTATGGCTAAGTGGACTGAGCGCCGGACTGAGAAGCAAAGTATTACCGCTTCAACTACCATTCAGGGCACATGCTGGGTTGCTGGCCAGTCCCTGGTTGAGGGTGTGTGATTAATGCTTCTCTCACATATTGATGTTTCTCTCCCTCTCTTTCTCCCTCCCTTCCTCTCTCAAAAAAACATTAATAAATAAAAATATTTTTTCTTCAATCTGACATTTGAATTCAAGGTCGGCTCTACCTCTTTAATTCAGATGCCAGATAAGCCCACCTTGGTCAGCAGGAGCACATCGATGAAATCCAAAGTCTTGGTCTTAGCCTTGGCTTGCAGAAAGTCATCAACATCCTGATCGGGGAGGGTGCGGCGCCGCTCCTGGATGACAGCGTCTGTGAAGCCGTGCACCAGGCGGCAGGCCTGACGGAAGCGCTGTCCCTCACGGGTGAGGTGGTATAGGAAGTCCACATGCTGGTAGAGCTGATCATGCCGTTTGGTCACGAGGGCACTGAGCTCCAAGATGGCGGCGATGTATTCACTGGACCTCCTGTATGAGGAGGGCAGGTAGGGGAGCAACAGCTTAGCTCAGTGAAGCCCTAGGTGGACCTCCCACCAGAAGCCAGGAGCAACCTCCCCTTGGGGAACTGATTGTCCAGGAACAGATGGCCCCACACATCCACGGAGGGGAGAATCCAGGAGACACAACCCTGTAGATTTTCTTCTCTCCCTGCACCCTGTTGCTGTGGGCCGTCTCCATGTCCCAGGCACCCAGAGCACAGCTCTGACACCGCGCTTCCCTCCTCTCTCTCCAGCCCGGTACCTCCCCTCTCTATCCCAGATGTCCCACCAGCTCAGACTCCATCCTCTCCCAACTGGTCAATGGGCCCAGCCCCCGCGCTCACCCCCTTGCATTCAATGCCACCACCATTTTGGTGTCTACACAACAGTTGGGCATCTCTAGAGTCAGATGTCCAAGCTCAGTTTTGGCCACAACACTCATCTGCTCAAATGCCTGCCATGGCTCCCATGAAACCTCAGGATACAGTTCATACCTCTTTGCCTGGCTTTTTAATGGCCCAAATACCTAACACCTGCTAAGTCCTCTAACTTCATTTCCAAGATGTCTCCTCACTGGTACACACATTCTGCTCATTCTAACCTCCTGGCCTTTAGCATACATTTCTACCTACCTGAGAGGATCACGCTTTCTCTTTCCCTGTCCTTGTCCCTCAATATCCAGCTCTGACCCAGCTCCTCCAGGAAGGCCCTGGTGATTGTCCTGGTCAGTCTTCCCTCCATCTACTCCCTTGGGTCTATGGTTCATGTTCCCAGGCTCTGGACAGAGACTCACTCCTGGCAATTGCTGTCAAAACTGAAGACACATTTCTGCAGACTGTCCAGGGTCATGAGGCTGATGTGTTCAAACATGTCCAGGCGGGTGTGGCCCTCCGAGGCCAGGCGCTGCCACTTGGCCTGGACAGAGAAGGAGACAGAGCTATGCCTTCCCTGAGCCCTTTTGCCAGCACAACCACCAGCGTGGCCTCCCCCGACCCTGTCTGTTGGTCCTCTGTCCCAGGTGCCCATCCCCGGGGAGGACCAGGTGTGAGTCGGAGTGGAATCTGTTACTCTTAGCACATGGGGACTCTATGGCGGGGAGTCAGAAGACTTGGGTCCACAGTTCAGCTCTGCTTCTTGTGTTCTGTGTTCCTTTAGTCTACTTTTTGCCCTCCTCTCGGCTCCACCTGCCAAATCTTGAGTACTAGTTCAACAGACCTCCTTAGGTGTCAAATGAACCAGGTTGGAATCCCAGATCCACTTGTTAACTCACTTGATAGACGGGTGAACGTGGGCAAGCCTTCTAACCAACATGAGACTCAATGTCATCATTCACGATGGGGAAAAAGGATTTATTTCTACCTCACAGAGTTGTGAAACTTAAAGACAACGTATGTAATGGAATTGGCACATGATTTCTGGCATACAGTATGTACTCAGTAAGTGTAAGCGTTCACCATCTTTGCTGTTATCAGTTGATTAGGAAAATGTCCCTTGATTAGGAAGGCTGCGTAACCTTCCATGGTTGCTGAGCACCCCTGCACATTCTGATAAAGAGGCCTAAAATGTGTGGCCCTGGTGTTCTTTACCTCAGCCCTCTCTCACAGCTGTGTTTGCAGCAAAAACCTTGAGGGATGAGGTAATGTCTTCCCTGGACAAGTATCAGGCTTTCTTCTGATTGCTTTAAAAGTTACAGAGACCCTCGACTTAGCGCCACTCCCCACCCCCTCTAATGCAACGTACTGCAGGAGCAGGCATCCACTTAAGCCTCCCTGTGTCATGGCCTGAGATTTGGCGACTTGGAGAAAGAATGCAAACCCATAGAAGCACATGCAGTTTGCTGTGCCATGAGTAATAAACTGTCCTTGCCTCTGACCCAGGAGTCTCATGTCTTCTGGCAGAATCCACAAAGCTGCAACAAGCTCCCGTGTCAGCTTGCAAGTTCGGAAGAATCCCAGGCACGTCACAGAACCCTACCCCCAGTTCTTCACTTCCCTATGAATATCCACGTTCTTTGCAATGCAATTTTTTCAGCAACTTCCATTAGGAGTTGGAGCCTGTTGCACTCCCCTTTAATTCTGTGCGGGTCTTTTGACTTGCTTTCACCAATAGACTGGTGAGAGTGAGGAGGCGGTGATCCTAAGCCTAGATCTTGGGAGGCATTGCGGCTTGCTCTCAGTTTCTTGGAACCCTGCCTGTGCCATGTGAACACACTGAGACGCCCAAGAAGGAGAGGTAGAGAGAGAGACTCCCATGGAATGAAGTCCAGTTGTGCCAGCTGAGACCATCCTAGGTCATCGTGCGGCCAGCCAAGCCCCAATCAGGTGAACGGACACAGCCCAGGACAGCGAAGCTGCCCACAGCTGATCACGGGCACATGAATAACGCCGTCCACGTCCAGGAGACCCAGCCAACTGGCTCACAGACTTGTGGACAATCATAAGCCCTTATTGTTTTGAAATGGTTTGTTACTTAGCAATCGCTACTGTGCGATATTCATTGTGATCATCAGCCATGACTTAGGACTCCAAGGCTTCTGTGAGGGAAACAGAGAAACGAATGCCTTCTGAACACAGACTGTGTATCAGGAATAACATAATGGCTGCATTATGTTATCTTGGTTGCCTACAAAATGACGACCATTATTCCAATTTTACAGCTGAGGAAGCTGAGGCTCAGAAAGGAAGAGCAATGGCCCTAGAACCACCCACAGGCGCCATAATTCCAGATGAGACGCCTCTGAGCCCCATTGCCACCAAGTCTCCAGGTGCGACCCTGAATTCAAGAGACTCACGTGCATGATATTCACGCTGTCATTGAAAATCTTCATGTAGGGCTTGAGGATGTTAAAGTGGAAGGCGGGTGTCAGCAGATGGCGATGGCTGCTCCACTTGTCACCGGCACTCAGCAGTAGCCCATCCCCTAGTAAGGGCGGCCACAGGGAATGGGTGGGGCAGGGCCTTCCCCTGGTCCCCCAAGGGTGTCCCATTGCCCATCGCCCTCAGTTACTCACCCAGCCAGGGCTCCAGGAATCTGTAGAAGACCCTATCCTTGGGCACGATGGAGGCTGACATGAATGAAGACCATCAGAGGCCATGCAGAGGGGAAGGAGAGGGGCTTTTGGAGGGGGAGGAGGCACCCAACGTAGCAGAATGGGACGAGAGCAAAGGAAAAAGCGAGGAAGGGGGAGGCGAGGGCCACGATGCAGAGCAGAGCAAAGGCAGAGCCCCAAGACACACCTCTACATGCTTAGACACACCCTTGCCATGGCACAACATGCCCAGCACACGTTGACATGGCTCCCACATGAACACAACATGTTCTACACACCTGGACACAACCCAGCACTCTACCAGGTGCCTTTACGGGGACCTCAGGCGCCCCATCGGCCCCCGCACTCTTTGACACCTGGGACCTCCGGCAAGGCTCCAACACGTGTCAGCATGTCCTGACATGGCTCCAACATGCATGGCACACCCTGACAAGGCGCAACACATTCTGACATGGACGCAAAGGCAATCTGACATGACCTCAATGTGTCCCACAGACGGCCCCAGGTAGGACTTAAATGTGGTCTCATTCGTGTCACAGATGTGGACCAGGTGTGACCCGGACATCCCCTATGACCTGCCTTGAACGACTCACATAAGGCCTCAGACATTTCTTAGAGGGACAAATCCAGAACATGGCCCAGACATGATCAGCAGCAAAACCAGACAATCTCAAATGGCATCTCACACAAGCACCAAACAGTCTCCGGCATGCCTCGAAAGTCACGGGCCACAGCTGAGCCCCAGACAGAGTGAGGCCGCCTCTGCTTGATCCCAGGAGAAAACAAACTTCAGCTATAACTAGGACACAGGGGGGGGACGTAAACGTGACCTGGCGTGGCCATGCAGAGGAGGTCACACAGGCACACAGCGTGCGCAACATGCATAGAGGTGGGGCAGAGGAGTGGTCCAGGGGCGACTGGGGCAGAGGCCTCTCAGTCGGTCTCTCCTGTCTGCAGCCGGGCCGCCTGCCAGCTGGAGGCAGCTCCAAGGCCACGGCAGTGAGCCGGCTGTGGCCAGAGGGGTGTCTACCTGGAGCAAAGAGCACAGGTCTGATGCAGGCGGGATGGAAGACGCGGATGACGGCGTGCCAGGGCCCCACCCACCAGCAGCACACATCCCCGTAGGTGCTCGCCAGGCCCTGTGTGTACAGGAGACCTTCCTCTGAGCTCCGAATCTGGAGAGGAACAAAGAGGGACCGATTCGCACTCCTCTGGGTGGCCAAAGGGAAGGACGTGCCGGACAGAGACCCAACCAGAGCCCCGCGAATCTTACCCAGCAGGTCATCCTCCTCCTGGCAGCCCTCCCCACACCCTTGACACAATGACAGGGTCTTTTCTCGTTGGGATTCGAAGCACAACATCCACCTGACTTCTCTTCTGTCCCCATTTTTCAGATAAGGAGACTGAGGGTCGGAACAATGAAGTCACTTGCCCACAGCCTCCCAGACAGTGGGCGCCCTGCGACCTGAGCCCTGAGCCCTGAGACCTGAGCCCAGGTCTGACTGCATCCAGGTCCTTAATTCTTCACTAGAGAACTTCTCTGAACTCCAAGGCCATAACTCGGAGAGCCCTACGTCTGCCAAGACTGGGCAATCCGAGTGGAGCGGCTGGAGGAGGAACTGGCCCACGCCAGGCAAACTGAAGTGGGTCCCGCAACTTCTCCTGGACCTGATGGGAATAAGCTCACTTTTCCATGGGGGTTGAGTTTCTGGGGTTCATCTTTACCAGCATGAGAGTGAAGAGATCACAGAGGAAAACAACTAAAAATGTGACGGCACCGTCCTGAGGACATTGTTTTGTCACCTGGTTCCAGCTGTGCCCGAAGCCAACCTTCATGGGTTTGACAGTGGATCGATTCCCTTCCTTTGCTTAGTCCACACAGGTTTCCGTTTCCACCACTCGGGACGGAAAGAAACCCCAGCAGCCAAGGAGAGCCCAGAGTCACCCAGAATTCTGATGTCAGAGCCAAGTTCTCTGTCCAATGCTGCCTTTTCTCCTGTCAGCCTGAGCTGTCTGGGGTTGAGAAAGGCAGAGAGCAATGGAAGGCATCCAGGCTGGAGTGGGCTTTCCTCAGAAAGGTTCCGAGCCCTCAGCCAGAGGGCAAGCAGTGAGAAGCGGATGAGCTACAGGGTAGAGTAGAGGGACCCGACGCACCACAGAAAGAGCAAGGCCTCGTTGCTCTGGGCCTCGGGGTCTGCGAGCAGGGGCAGGTCTGGGATGCGGGCCCCTGGGATGCCAGCAATGCCCACTGCATCACTCTCCGCTCTGCTTCTAAAAATCCTGACTCGTTGTCCCCAGACGCAGTCCCAGGCGCTGCTCCTGCAGGAGGCTTCCAGGCTGCCACCGCCCGCCTCTGGCCACGCCCTGACCACGCCTGGCAGGCGTCCCCCAGTCCCTACGCATCTCCTCAGGATTGGGAGCTCCTCCAGGACACACCCTTGTGGATCGGATTGAAGCCTGCTGGGGCCCCAGCGGTGCCCAGGACACCAGGGCAGAAGGCAGGCGGCCTTAGAGGGAGGAGGTAGCGAGGTGCAGGGTGGATTCGAGAGGAAAAGAGGAAGGTGCTGCGAGAGAAGGGGGAAGAGGGCCGGGCGGCTGGGGCCTCAGAGAAACGTGGTGGGGAGGAGCGGGAAGCCTCCGCCGTGCCTCAGCACCCGCCACCATGAGCCCTGTGGGTACCTGAGGCGCTGGTGACAGCCCGGACCATGTCTGGGTGGCACAAAACGACGAGGGGGTAGATGGGGCCCTGCCATATCATAAACCCCTGGGGGTAGGTGGTGATCAGCCGAGTGAAGTCCCTCATGCCCTCTTCACTGTGGGTGACCTGGAGGCAAGGCAGGAGTGTCACTGCCACGGGGAACCTGTGGCCTCCGCCATGGACAGCGTATCGTCTGCATCTTGCAGGGATGAAGCACATCTGCGTCCTCCTGCTCCTTCCCTCTCAGAGCAGGGGGGCCCCCGGAGGCCGCCCCTCGCCCTCCGGGCGCACCCCCGGGCATGGGGAGAAGACACGCTCTCTGCCCGCAGAGAGGCCGGCCTTGGCTCAGAGAGATGGCTTTGTCTTGTCCTGGAAGTGGTTCCATCCTGGGGCTGGGGCCCACAGGGGAAGGTCCCCTGGGTGGGTTTGTGGGCAGCACAGAGGCCTGAGGACTTGTCCCTGAGTCTTGGTCCCATATCTCTTCATGTCCTGGCCGGTCCACAGGCCTTCAGGTTCTCCCGTGGAGCAGTGAGGCAGGCCCGGGACCTTCCAGCCCAGCAGACGCCAAGGGACAGGAGTGAACTCTGCTCATGGATCAGGAGGGTGGCTCCCCCCTTGAGCCACACCTGCCGGCCGAGCTGTGTGTACAGTGTGTCCTGTCAGGCTGCCTGTCTCTATATCTACCTACCTACCTGCCTACCTGTCTATCAGAGCGCATCCTTGCTGGCTCTAGTTCTTTCTTTTTAACCTACAGACACTCCCACCAATCCTGCTATTTAGAAATGAAGAAACTGTGGCCATGTCCCCCAAAAGGAGGAGGACGGGTCACCTGCCGGTGAGGCATCCCCTCCTGTCCCTCAGGATGCCCCAGCAGAGCCTGACAAATACCACAGGTGCTCCAGGCAGGTGATCATAAGTCGTCATCACCCCAGCGATCCGCTCCCTGGACCTCGAGAAGCCTGAGGGCAGGATTCCAAGCAAGTGATAAGACTGGTCCAGAGAGGGAGAGTGACTCAGCTGAGGTCATGCAGGAAGAGGGACTGGAGGAGAAAGAGTGACCAAGGCCAGCCCCCGCGGCTTAGCCCGCAGAGCCGGGGTGAGAATGGCTGCGACTTCCATTCCAAGACCCAGAATCGCGGGCAGCCTTCATGCTGTGCCAGGCAGTGTCCCATTGTGACTGTGGCTATAAGGAGCAGTAAAATCAAAGGAAGCCCTTCCCCAAGCTGCAGTTCCCGTCCCGGCCAGCAAAGGAAAGCCGGTCTGGGGAGAGGCGGGAGGCGGACACTCATCCCTCTGGCCTTCACCAAGGGAGGCGAAGGCAAAGTCATCACATAGGGGCTCAAATGTTTAGTGAGTGCTTGATGTATGCAGCCCCAGGACTGGGAACTGCAGACAGAATGTCTGCTGCCCAGCGCTGCCATCAAGTGGAGGGCCAGGTAATAAGTAATCAGACAATTAACGGTGTAATTAAGAAGGAGCGGGACCAAATCATAGGTCCAAGTCTGGGGCGTGGGTGGGGCCTTGAAGAGGGCTTCCAAAGAGACGCAAGTGGCCAGCGTTAATCAGGTTGTGCAACAGGCCCCTTGGCACATCTCAGGAGGGACGAGTAAGATAAGAGGAAGGTGTGCCAAGAAGGCGAGGGACGGGGAGCTGAGCCCTTGGGGGTGGGGGTGAGCAGAGCCAGGGAAGGGGCACAGTCGCAGCGAACACACCTTGGACAGCACCCTGAGGCGGTCTCAAGGCTGGCTGTGAACACTGGGAATGCCAGGGGACCCAGCTCTGTGCAACCTGCCCCGGGGGTCCCTCAAACGTGCACGGATCTGGGGGAGACAGGTAGGACGTGGGCCCCAGTGGGCTGTGGGGAAGGCAGGGGTGTGGGAAAGGCTTGGGATGACAGAGCGGAGGGATGAGTGAGGAAAGAGGGGCTCCTCTTGACCCCCCCTCGCTTCTCTGCTGCCCTTGGCCCCAGTCCAACCCCTGAGCCCCATTTCTAGCCCCTCAGGGAGCCCATCCACCTTGGTACCTAAGACTCATTTTGCTGCCCACACTCACCAGGCCCAGGTGACCCAGAAACCAGTTCCGCCGTGGGGGCTCTGGGAAACATCGGAGGCGGCAGCAGGTGTCGTAGAATCTGTAGGACCAGGCCAGGGCGCGGGCCAGGAGCCAGGAGGCCGCCAGCAGCAGCAGGAGTAGCCACGGGGAGGCCACCAGGGGCCCCAGTCCCAGCCAGGGCAGGCTCAGCTGCAGCATCCTGCAGGGCGGACAGAGGGGGCGCTCCTGAGGCCGAGGGGGGCAGTACCAGGTGAGCTCAGGGCAGAGACCCGCTCACAGGCAGAGGCAGATGTGTGAGGGACAGGGACACAGAGGGGCAGGCGGGTGCTGGGCCAGGGCAGGGAGGGCTCGGAGATGGGAGAATGGGGCTCAGGAGGGAAGGGAGACCCAGGGAAGTGCAGGGGGAGAGGGAGAGGAAGAGAGAGAGGGAGAGGAAGAGAGAGAGTCAGAGAGAGGGAGACAGGGAGAGAATCGAGTTTCATCACCCACTGTTACCCACTCTGCTCCCTGCCCAGCTGCGCTCTCTAGAGCCACCCCAGCCTCGAGCAACAGTCTTCCCCGCCCTGGACCAGGACCCCTTACCCCGAGACTAGCACCTTTTCCCTGGAGTGGCCAGTCCCACGCAAGCTCCTCTGCCACCTCCTGGGTAACCTTTGGCCCTGGTTTCTGAACTAGGGGAAGTTGACAGGGGTTGGACTAAACCAGCCAATCCCCAAATATTTGCTTACCTACACCCCGTTGGCAGTGGCCCAAAGAGAGGGTGTGGGAGGGGCTTATAGTGTTGTCAATATAGGCCGAGAACTAGCCGAGGGTCACACAGTGTGGACGCTGGATCCTCAGGACCTCTCAGCACGCCGCAGTGGAACGGGGACAAGACGGAGGGTAGACAAAGATGACTCTGGGCCTCCAGATGGACTGCCTTCCCTCCCCTCCCAAGACCAGGGTCTGGCAGGTCAAAGCTTGAACTTGATTGTTTAGTTGCCTGATAAGCCTCGTCCCACACGTCCCCCTGGCTCCTCTCTCCAGGCTGGGCCCAGTTCGTCATGCACAGCGTCTCAGCTCAGATTCCGGACACTCAGAGACAAGAGCTCCGTCCTCCAGGCTGCACAGCCTGACAGGAGTTAAGTCTTGCCTCCACGCAGGCCGGGCCCCAGCCGAGAGCAGCCTGGTGTGAACAGGAGCTCCCCGTGGGACTCAGGGGAGGAAGGGCCCAGTGGGGAGAGAGCCATAGGAGGCGAGGGGGTCAGTCTCAGCGGTCTTGACAAGGGGGAAGAGCTGGGAGGCCCCGAATGAGTTGACCCTGCTCCTGCTCTGACCACCGGCTCGGCCAACCCCTGTGGGAGCAGTCCCCCCTCTGGGATGCTGAGGGACGTTATGAGAGGGAGACAGAGGAAGGTTACACAGGAAGGAGGGAAGAAGGATCAGGAGCCCCCAACACAGATGGAGTGAAGGGAACGAGCTGGCAGCTAGTACTTGTGCTGATGCGTACACCACATAAAGTAGACCTACTCTGGACACACGACTGTGTGTACAGTGTGCCTCCTGTGTGCACGCTCCATCAAGCTACATCAGGCATGCCTACTGTGTGCCAAATACCTCAAAGAGTGTACCGACTTTGTGCCAGGTAAGTGTGTCTCCTGTGTGCTGGGCACCTCAAAGGGCACCTTACTCTTAGAGTGCCAGGAACTCTACATGAAGTGTGCCCACCGTGTGCCAGGTGCGCTGTATAAAGCACATCTGTGTGCCAGATGCTCTGCACAGAGTGTGCCTGCTGTGTACTGGGTAATTCAAAAAGTATGCCTACTCTATGTCAACTGCACTATGCAAAGTGTACCTACTATGCCAAGTGTGCTATATAAAATGCATCTGCTGTATGTCAAGCACGCTAATAAATACTGTCTACTGTATGCTGGGTATTGTGCATAAAGCATGTCTACTGGATGCTGGGTACTCCATATAAAGTACTTCTGTGCATCAGGTACACCACATAAAGGAAACCCACTGTGCCAGATGTTCTGCCTGCAAGGCGATGCCGCCTCCTGCCCTCAGCTCTCTGGGCCAGCGCCCTGGGGAACCGTGCAGAGAGGCCCAGGTGACAGCTCCCCGGCAGGGAAGACCCCTATTTCATGCAGCAAACCGAAGCTCAGAGAGGGCAAGACTCTAGCCCGCATTGCGGGGCTGGCAGGAGCCCGGGTGGGTCACACGCCCAGCCCAAGCCTTTCCCTGCGCTGTGCTGCTCCACCCCCGTGAGGAGGATCTGTGCCCTATTCATCAAGGGACATTCAGAGCGGTGAGCCCCAGGCAATGCGGTGCCTCCAGAGGGGAGAAAGCCTCTCAGTGGGCCTAGTGCTCCTCTCCTGGCCCTCCCTCGCTCCTGCGTGGAATTGCCCTGGGGAGTGGCCTCAGGTAAGGGAGGGCTTGAAGGACAGGGGTCCTGGGAGAGCCGCTGAACAGTGGAGAAAGGGGAAGACAGTCCCCCTGACACTGGAAAAATGTTGGGGAGGCTCCAAACCTCCCTGTCCCTCTCCCACTAAGTGGGGGATTCAGGTGGCTGGTCCTAGAGTCCTCAGTGAGGTGGGGTGCACCCTCACCCCAGAATCTCCTCCACTCCCCAGCGGCCGATTTCACCTGCTGGCAGGCCCATCCACAAGAGGGTAGTGGGCAAGGCCAGAGTACGATAAGCCACACAGAGGCCTGGGACACTTGGGAGAAAGGGCCCCAGGTGCCCAGAGCTTCTGCGAGCCTACTGCTTCCAGGAACGGGCAGGCAGCCTAGAGCAGGTGGCAACCCCTGCCAGCATTTGACAACATAAGTTGCAGAATCTGTTTTAAGCCCTTTAGGCATATTAGCCCTTACCTTTCGTTTCACAGAGGAGGAAATTGAGGCTGAATTCCCTTGGACTGACGTGTCCAAAGTCACACAGCTGGTAGAGCCAGACCGCGCACCAGACCTTATATACTGGTGCCCTGAACCGCTGAGCTGTGTGTGCTCTTCCTGCCTGTGTGTGGGCGTGTTGTCTGTGCCCCCGCCAGGGTGGTGGAAATGATGGAAAGAGACAAAGTATGTAAGACACTTACGAGAGAGGAAGGGCTCAAGCGATGCTAGTCATTCTTGTTGTTGTTGTTGTTAGTGGTGTGGTGTAATCATCCAGCAGCCCGGCAATATTACCCTCATGAGCCCATTTTTACACAAAAGGAAGCAGAGACGCAAGGAGGTGAAGCAACTTGCTCCAGCCTCACAGCAAATTTAGTCAACAGGATAGCAAAGCCTGGTACGTAGTAGGGGCTCATTGACTATCTGGGGAAGAAGGTGAGCTTTGCGGCCATGAGCTCTAAGGCTCGGCTACTCAAAGGGTAGTCCTCAGACCACTGCCATCCGTCTCACCTGAGAGCTTGCAGGAAACACGGAATTAGTGCCCTGGCCCAGAAATACTGACTGAGAGCTGCACCACCCCTGGGGAGTGGTGGGCACTCATTCAATTTTTAAGACAGGTGGCTTTAAGACCCCCAAGTCTGGATTCTGCAAGGGGGGGATACAGGGAGGGAGGACTTTCACCTCTCTGATTCATGGGGTGTTTTTTTGTCAGCTATCAAATATGGGAGGGAGAGGATCTATACCTTCTGGGGCTGTTTCGTAACCACGTGTTTATTGCACATCTATTATGTGCCAGGCACTGCGGACGCAGCGATGAGCACGGCAGACATCGCCCCTGCTGTACAGGGCTCACACATCATGGAGACATGGGAGATGGTTAAAGAAATGATAAGAGTATCAGATGGTGATCAGTGATGTGCCTGGGGGAGAGGTCCTACCTTAGGCCAGGGGTCAGGGTGAGCGAAGACTGGAATAAAGAAGGAAGGTCTTGCACTGGCAGGTGCGGCTCAGTGGATTGAGTGCCAGCCTGCGAATGACAGAGTCACTGGTTCGAATCCCAGTCAGGGCTCATGCCTGGGTGGCAGGCCAGGTCCCCAGTAGGGGGCGCATGAGAGGCAACCACACATTGATGTTTCTCTCCCCCTCTTTCTCCCTCACTTCCCTTCTCTCTAAAAATAAATAAATAAAATATTAAAGAGAGAGAGAGAGATGGAAAGCCTCCAGGGGCAGGCATGGAATGGGACATTCAGGCTGCACAAAAAGCCAGCCAGTTGGTTCTTGTCCTTTTGACACTGGAGCTGAGAGCAGTAACCCGTGAAATCACGCGATGAATCCTTAGGAAGGCCAAGGCCGGCAGCAGAGTCTGGCCCACGTGGAAGCAGTAAGCAGGTGTGAGCTTTCAGTAGCCATGACCAAGGACTGAAACCCCAGCGGGGCTCTGCAGCCATCATAAGGTCAGTGTCTACTTGTCCAGGGTTCCTGCTTCGGTTCCTGGTTGGGTCAGGTGATAGAAGGGGAGAGGATGCCTCAGCTGGGGGCTTGACTCAGAGCCTGAGGAGGCTGCAGCATCCCTAGTGGGGAAGGTCTCAGCTTCCAAATCATGGAAGCCTGGCTTATGAAAGTCCCTAGTCAATATGGAGGGAGCCACACACGGAAAGGCGGAGGCTGGGCCTTCCCCAGGGGCCCTGTTAACCTCTCCCCAAGCTGGACAGAGGGCCAGAGTGTGTTAGATCTGCAGCGGCAGTCCCTGTGTGAGTAAGTGACCAGCCTCAGGTATGGCCTGTCTCCCCCTCTGAGCCTCAGTCTTCATATCTGCAAAATGGGCCCAATAAAACCGCTGCATTTCAAGCGTTCTGTCAGATGCAGGAAGACAGAGCAGGGCAGGGCACGTTCTGAGGTGATACATGAAGGAAATCCTGCCCTTTGCGGCCACATGGGTAGGTGGATGGGCTGTGAGGGTATTATGCTGAGTTAGGTAAGTCGGGCAGAGACAGACAAATATCATATGATGTCACTTCCGTATTACAAAATTTTATATATGGAATCTAAAAAGGAAACAAACATAAAAGAATGTGTAGTTACGGAGAACAGATGGGTGGCTGCCAGAGGTGGGGCGGGGTAGGCGGTGGAAGAAATGGGCGAAGGGAGTCAAAGGGTTAAAAGAGGTATAAAAATATAAGCCCTGGGATGCAATGTGCATCATGGTACCTCTAGTTAACAATACTTACTGCATATTTGAAAGTTGCTAAGACAGCAAGTCTGAAGAGTTCTGACCGCAAGGAAACAATTGCGTCGCAAGAAAACAATTGTGTCACCGTGCGGTGATAGATGTGAACTAGACATATCGTGGCAATCATTTCGCGATGTATACAAATAGCCAATCATTATGTTGCACGCCTGAAACTAATATAGCTTTAGGTCCACGATATCTCAATAAAAAAGTGAAAGGTGAGCAGCGGTCCCCTCCTCGCAGGAGACTGGCCAATGCGCTGCGCCTCTGCGGGCGCAGGTCTGCACTCACAGCTGGTACCAGGAAAGCACCGCAGACAACTCAGGGACTGGAGGGCCTGGCAGCTCTAGCCTCGCGAATAGCTGTGTCTTTGGTCCTTTTTCCCTGCACGCGGAGCTGCCGTGACTTTTATCGCTGAACACAATTTTAAAAAGAAGGAAGAAGGTGGCGTCGAGGGAAGCATGTGGTCAGCGCACAAAGCAATGAGCAGGCCCTGTGCTGTGTCACCACCGAAACACAGCCCCCAGGAATTGACCTGGGGTCTCCTGCGTGAGTACGCACACA